CTTGAGAAAAGGAAATCAACTGGGACTATTTTCCTAAGTACTGATGCATAAATAGTAATAATCTGTTCTACCATTGTGTTTTGGTTGTGTCTATTTCTATTTCCTGTTTCTATTTGCCTTTTGGAAGACAATAAAACTCAACATCTCATATAATTTTTTTAACAGGCATTGAGGAACCATTAGCATCTTGAGAAAAGGAAATCAACTGGGACTATTTTCCTAAGTACTGATGTTTGGAAATGAGGACAGTATCTGCAATTTTAAAATGTTTAAATTTATTATCAAGACTTCCTGAAATCCCTGTTATATTTTTATGTTAATATAGTTTTAAACATATACGACAAATAGGACAGTGCTACATGTGTTCATAGCAACCATTGTTTTTTCAAAAACAATTCTATACATGAAATTAGTTTTCCAGGAATGCTTACCCTTGAGAATGTACAATTGAACCTGGTTAAGTCGAAGTTGGTGAACTTCTAGAGTGTAATTAGGAAAATACTATCTTCATAATTGATCATTACTTCATCAAATATGTCAATACTAAGTAGAGTTGCTGCAGTGAAACGCTGATAAAATGAGAATAATAATGTTCAGTTTTTGCCCACTGTTGACATATATTTATAAATGATTGATTGTGTTGCCATTGTTTGCAGTACATAATTAGCCCAGCTTGAAGATGTTAACTTAGAGTTAACCTTTTGCATTGTTCATTTGGCAGGACAATCAATGTGAGCAGCAGAATCTGTTTTACTCAGTTCTTGTTCTAGACAAACAGGATTTTCAGAAAATTAACTGTTTCTTTGTTTTGTAATGGTCCTCACACTTAAAAAATTACATTATTCTGTTCTGATGGAAAAGATGCCTAATTTGATCATCATAATGATTTTTATCATGTATTTCTTTAATATATTTTTGTAATCAAAGTTAATTAAACTGATAAAAGGCCAATCAAATGAACAGAATATATTTGTCAGCCCTGATTTGACCAAAAGTAACATAGCCATATGTGAGAGGAATGGGCAGACTATGACTGCAAAACCTTTTCGCTGCCACTCTTATTTGAGAACTATTTGTCTCCACTTTCATCTTGCCTTTTAAAATAATTACCACCCTCAACGAGTGAGTAAATGAATGAGAGGTTTTATGCCACTTTGAGCAATATTCCTGCAATATCCTAGTCAGGGACTTCAGAAATGGGCTTCAGAAGGAGGGGGAATCAAACCCGTATCTTTGGTGTGATGAGGAAGCACTTTAACCACTAGGCAGCTGTCAACCTTAAAGATGGTTTGGAGTGAGACTGAAAAAAATAAGCCCGGGGGGTCCACATGTAGGGCAATGCCCAGCCGAAAATGAAGTTTAGTGATTTTCAGGAGCATTTGGAGCCTTCTGGTGGCATTATTTTGACACTAAAAGATGCATGCTAATAAATAATAAACCGAATCATTCGCATAAACATCGTTTTAGTACTTCGTTCATTTAGGCGTTCTTTCAATGTTCAACTTTACGCAAAAACGATCGAAAATGCGTATTAATTTTGAAATTATTTTAGGCTACCAGATATGCGTGAGATTATTATTTGGAGGCGTGAGAGCGTGACATTTGTCAATAAAGCGTGAGACTCACGCCAAATGCGTGAAAGTATGTACCCCACCGCCCTTACCAACCACAGATGAGCCAAATGTCCACATCCTGCATCTGTAAAGAGAAACCATGCTTTCCTAATGTTTCTTTAATTGTCTTTAATAGCTTGTGTCTTATGTAAACGGATAGCACGGGATATAATGTGTATAATTGTGATGACTGCACAGTCCCTAATGATGGTCTTTTACCTGCTACTTTCCCAGCAAACCCTTGTATATGTGTGTACCTCATGCAAGCCAACCAGGAAGATCTGCTTGTGCTGTACAGTGATGTTATGAAAATACATGTACATAGTCTGTCTCACAGTCCCTGAACCGCATTATTATCCCCCGCTCCGCGTTTAGCGCGAAGCGGGGGATATAGTATTAGGCTCCGTCCGTCCGTCCATCCATCCGTACGTCTGTGCACGTACGTAATTGGAATATCTTAAGAACCGTTCACTAGATTCTTTTCATAATTGGTACCTAGGTTCATCACAGTATAAGAAAGGTCTAAGTCAGGTTTGGTGACCTTGACCTTAATTTCAAGGTCACAAGGGGACTTTAACGTTTTACCTGCATGTTAAGCTATCTCAAGAACCGTTCACTGGATTTTCTTCATATTCAATACAAAGCTTTATCTAGGGAAGGCGCAGGGCCCAGTCGATTTTGGTAACCTTCACTTAATTTTCAAGGTCACAGAGACACTTTGAAGATTTCAGCATGTTAACCTGAATTGTCATCAAGATATTTCAAAAACAGTTCACTGGATCTTCTTCAAAGACTTTCAAGACTTCCCTTAAATGTTTTTCAAAAAGCAATTTCTTTAGTACTATTTTTGAATATTTCATACACTATGACATTCATGTCAAAGTCAGTCTTGAAAATATGTGTGTGTTTGAACACCTAAAGAGCAAGACATCAAGAGAGGTTGACTGGTCATGTTTTTGTTGACATTTAACTTAAACTTTCATTACTTTATAAGTTTGATTTGATAATTTGTGGCGGGGGATTATGTCACCTTAGTGACAATGCTTGTTTTCCCTTCTGTCCAGCTCTATCTGCAATGCTAAAACCTTAAATGATGCAAGTCTATATTTCCTCAGGTTCTGAATCTACTATCTCAATGGCTCCTTTTCAGTTTTAAAGGAATTGTTTGTTTGTATCAAAAATATATATATTCAGAGACTTGGAGTTAGTCTAGAAAATACATTGTAACGGGGATGTTTGCATGACTTAATCACAGTGCTGCTTTTATGCTTCTCAACAATTTATTGGAGTGCCCATTGCTTGGCGATGTTGTCATGAAAATAATATTTTAATGGGATATTCTTAATGCCCAGGAAGAACGGAATGGAACAGAATGCTTTGTGTTATTGTCACAAGTTAACATTTGATACTGCAAACACTTAATGTCAAGGACTTGACACAAACTTCAGTATTGAATTGAATACAACATGAAACTGTTGTTTGAAATAGATCTTCTCAAGCTCAGCTGTATTTGAATTGAATGAAACATAAGAAATGTTGCCACACAAGCAGTATTTGGTGTTGCCATGGAGCCTTGTTAATTCAACTTCATTTGAATTGAAGGAAATATAAGAGATATTGTCACACAGATAGTATTGGGTATTGCCATGAACCTGACTCCTTTTTAGATTTATTTGAATTAATGAAACATAAGTTAGTTACCGATCCCAAGTTTTGTAACAGACTGAGGTACATGTTTATCAGTATCCTTTTCTAACTATGAGTAGCATATAGATTCAGATGAAATCCTCTCTTCTGTCAGGCTATTGTTCTTGGAAAATTCTCTGAAATATTCAGCATGAGTAACTGAAATGTCTTGAGTTTCTCAGCCTGAAAGCACTTACTGAATTGTTAAAAAGAATTTAATTGAAAGAATCATTCAGATTTTACATCCGTGAATTTCATAATGTCAGTGAACATCTTTATTATTTTGAAATGCCAAGTGCATATATTTTCTTTGCAACGAAGAATTGATATTTATTCGTCAGGATTGATTTTCATCATTTCATGTGTATGCGGATTGTAAATTTTTGATAAAAATTTAATTGGTATGTTCGGACGAGAATGCTCATTATTCCGTTCAGTATCAACTATTGCACATGTGCTGGTTAGATAGTTAATGAGTTTTTCCGAAGTGAAGGTATAATTGTCTTGAACCGTCCTTGGTACCTGCAGCCAAGTGCAGAGAGGTGGATGTCAGTACAGAGAGATTACATAAAGGAGGTATCATGGTACTTTGTGATGAAGTTCATTACTTTAACGGAGCTTTAATTGGTTTGAGAGTTTCTAATCGGCAATGTCAATTAAATATATTGAAGGCTGACAATAAATTCAGCATTTTTGAAACTAATGCAGTACAGGTTTACATTGCAAAACTGTTTAACACCATCTCAGAAATATTCCAGCTTTATGGCAGCAGTCTGTAGACAATCGAGTCTGGAACTACATACCAAGGATGGATATCATGAGCAAAGATCGATATTGACCGGTTAGGATTAGATGCAAGTCCCTTTTATCACTTGACATGTCATCACACGGTGAACCAGTGATACGATATATATCCCAATAATATTTGTGTGATATGATTCATATGCTTATACTTTTATTTCATAAGTTCATATTCTCTGCCTTTTTGCAGATGAATCACAACCGCGAATTTGTTTTTAAATCTGAAACAGTAAACGTTCCATTTCTAGGAGAGAAGTATATAAGTGTGGGTCACTGTGCAGATTCTGCTATTTATGGATAACTAGACAATCAGCATAAACTGGTTCTTGAACCATCTCTGTTATTGTTCACATGTTTTTACATCAATATAAGTGATGTTATGTTATGAATTGTTTGTATTGTGTGTACAGGATTTGTAAACTGATGCCACCTAACGTCTAAACATGTAACAAGATGCATTAACTGAAAAATATTACATTTTGCTTTTAACCATTTGCAATAGGGCAGTAGACTTGAACTTGACTATTTCAGAGAACAAAAGGATATTGATTTTCGCTGAAAGTGATCATCATGACATACAGCAAATGTTAACATGACCCGTGATTTATGCCTTCTGAATGGACAGTTCTTTTTTGTTCTTTTTTTAAAAAATATTTTTATTTCCTAAAGTACATTTGTTGTTGTAGTACTAAAGCATCATACACAACACATCCTCGGCATCAAACATTGTGCAAACATCACCATCAATACAATACATCAATACATCAATACAGAACAATCATCGTATGTTCAGGGTGGATTTACTATAATGTATCTGTTATCCTTGCCCAAGGCTAATATGTATACCAGTACTTGTGTTCAGTTCTTGATCATCCTCTAAACTGTGCTTCATGTTTTCAGGTTGGGCTTGTGTTTCTGCTGAGCATAGCATCTCTCATCATATACTTCATCGATGCTTCGTAAGTATCAACCTGTTCTATCCACTTCCTGGATTAACCAGTGTCTCTGTTCAGTTGTAGGGGTGGTGGGGCTGTCCATTGCTCTCACATAGGGTTCATGACTTTTGGTCAGGGCGGTGGGGTAGCCTAGTGGTTAAAGTGTTCGCTCATCACGCCGAAGACCCAGGTTCAATTCCCTACATGAGTACAATTTGTGAAGCCATTTCTGGTGTCCCCCCGACGTGATATTGGTAGAATATTGCTAAAAGTGGCGTAAACCATACTTACTCACTCACTATTCTGTTGTGATTTATACTGTTTCGTTCACCATGCCTCACTGAAGTGTCTGACGGAAACAAGCCATGTCAAGAGCACTTGACTCTCCATGTTCCATGCTAACTCGGGTACAACTAGGAGCGTTGTATTGCATGAGGAAATCCCTTCCTGCTGGATTATTCATTTATAGCACTGAACCAAATTAGAATGTTCTCAGGATGCACTCATGAGGCTGTGGGTTTAAATTTAGACCTATGCTGGTCAGAAGATTCATTTTGATTGGTTGGTGTGTTCAAGCTAATGAGTGAGAGAATTTCTGTACGAACTTAATGAAAACAAAAGAAAAGTTTGTGTTTTTGCTTTCAAAATTATTCAGTGGGGACAGGTAGCCTTGTAGTTAAAGCATTCGCTTTTCACATCAGAGACCTGAGTTTGATTCCCCATGTGGGTACAATGTGTGAAGCCTATTTCTGGTTTCTGCTGCTGCTGTGAATATTGCTGGAATATTGCTAAAAGAAGTGTAAAACCATACTCACTCACTCACTCACTCACTCACTCACTCACTCACTCACTCACTCACTCACTCACTCACTCACTCACTCATCACTCACTCACTCACTTGTGTTCAGGGTCAAATGGATCTTCGGATCACAGTGAGTGAGTGAGTTGGGTTTACGCCGCTTTTAGCAACATTCCAGCAATATAGTGGGAGGGGACACCAGATATGGGCTTCACACATTGTACCCATGTGGGGAATCGAACCCGGGCCTTCAGCATGATGAACGAATGCTTTAACCACTAGGCTACCCCACCGCCCCTCTTTGGATCACAACAAAGATATATATAGTACATATTCTAATGCGATATATCAGGTCAACCAACAGAGATTGTAAAGGCTCATGTGTTGTGACTAGTGTTGGGAATTGGTGTAAATCTCATAATTGATGATTGGTTCATTACAGCCGATCAATCATCGAAAATAATTGGTTAGCATCATTTATCAAATTTTCTGGTTATGTTTGTTAATGCACAAAAATAAAGAAAAAACATGTAGTTCTCTCGGGTTTTATCGCAAATTGCACAAAATGCATTTGCAAATTTCACATCTTTAAAGGATGACTATATTACTGTCGGAAATAGAAAAAAACTGTTTTTAGGCTGTTACTCTGTATCCCTAAAATTGACACAATTGCAAATAGCATATGTTGAAATAACCCACTTCGGCCTAACTGGGCGTTCATTGGGATGCGTAATACGATATCCAGAAAAGCATGTTTACTCGTAAAATCGGGCAAAACTTAGAAAAATACGAATAGCTGCTGAAAACAATAGATCAGACTATAGATGGCAATTAGGTCGTTCAGCCAGGTATAACGACGGACCGTCGACTCACCTGGCATGAAATGCACGTGCTGCCTACAGGCACAAGGGGTCATCTCAAAGATATTTTGTGCTTTTTCATGTGTGTTGAATATGTCTCATCTACTGATTAACATCTTATGTGTCTTTCTTTCATAAAGTTTATGTTGAGATATGTAAGAGAGTATGATACCCGAAAACCATAGAAACGCATCGTAGTATATAGGTGGCATGACCAATTCAAGATCAACAGGACTGGATATTATTTGTAAATTGGACGGTGTAATTTCAAATTGGGCATTTAAAAAGTGTCCTTTGTAATACAATATCGTCGCACACTAATTTGCATAAAGCCATGGTCTGTTCCAAATATGTCTTTTTGGACTTAGAAAATAACCGCATTGCTCATTTCTGCACTAATTTCCCCTCAGTAAAGTCCTTTTTCTCCGTTTCCTATCTCTCTACCACTGAGACTGTCGTTAGGCCGAACTTGGTTTAACAGATATTTCACACTTTCACATATCAACTACATAAATTGTAGAGATAAATGAGAAAATACAGTTTTTTTCTATTTCCGACAGTACTATAGTGTGTTAGGAACATACATTTCCTGGAGTTGTTAAGATAAACTTAATCATGACTTGGAACGAGCTTGTAGTGCTTATGCAGTGTCGAGACAAAATCAACCTTTGAAAAATATTGTTATTGCAAACAAGTGGTCCAAAATTGTTTGTGTTCGATTATGAGAAAACATGATCGATTGCTTAGTCGTTTTGTCATTGCGACCAATCTTCGATTATTTCAATTAATCGGACCACCACTAGTTGTGACACAAATAAGCAGGAATGTAATTAACCTAAGTGAAATCACCACATCTACTGCTAGTATACTGGACATTTCTACAACATTGGCGGGCACATCGTTGGACATGATCTCACATGGAGACTGATGTGTGTACTTGATCCAGTTGGGTATCGAACCATGACACGTTTCCCACTTAATAATCTGTCTCTTAATTACATTTTTATTTTTTATTCCAAGTAATATGTGCCGATGTTTCCAGCACCTGTACTGGGCTATGACTGTAAACTCTGTTGCCAGATGGCATCCGACCACTTGATCTAATTTTTTAGGGTCATGTATTGAAACGTTGTTAGACTGATCTGTTAACAGTTGAGTCTCCATTTTCACTTTGAAAACGTTTACGCTGAATTAGGATCCATTGTTGAATGTTAAGGATACAACAAATGTGTATTGTTATACTGTTTCAATTTGATTCATTTGATGCTACAACAAGTGTGTGTTGTAATGCTGATTCATTTGATGCTACAACAAGTGTGTGTTGTAATGCTGATTCATTTGATGCTACAACAAGTGTATGTTGTAATGCTGATTCATTTGATGCTACAACAAGTGTGTGTTGTAATGCTGATTCATTTGATGCTACAACAAGTGTGTGTTGTAATGCTCATTCATTTGATCAGTGTGTGTTGAATATGCAACAAATGTGTGTTGTAATGCTGATTCATTTGATACTACAACAAGTGTGTGTTGTAATGCTGATTCATTTGATGCTACAACAAGTGTGTGTTGTAATGCTGATTCATTTGATGCTGTGTGTTGTAATGCTGATTCATTTGATGCTACAACAAGTGTGTGTTGTAATGCTGATTCATTTGATGCTACAACAAGTGTGTGTTGTAATGCTGATTCATTTGATGCTACAACAAGTGTGTGTTGTAATGCTGATTCATTTGATGCTACAACAAATGTGTGTTGTCATACTCATGCATTTGATCAGGAATACAGCAACAAGTGTGTGTTGTAATGCTGATTCATTTGATGCTACAACAAGTGTGTGTTGTAATGCTGATTCATTTGATACAACAAGTGTGTGTTGTAATGCTGATTCATTTGATGCTACAACAAGTGTGTGTTGTAATGCTGATTCATTTGATGCTACAACAAGTGTGTTGTAATGCTGATTCATTTGATGCTACAACAAGTGTGTGTTGTAATGCTGATTCATTTGATGCTACAACAAGTGTGTGTTGTAATGCTGATTCATTTGATGCTACAACAAGTGTGTGTTGTAAATTCATTTGATTACAACATTTGTAATGCTGATTCATTTGATGCTACAAGTGTGTGTTGTAATGCTGATTCATTTGATGCTACAACAAGTGTGTGTTGTAATGCTGATTCATTTGATGCTACAACAAGTGTGTGTTGTAATGCTGATTCATTTGATGCTACAACAAGTGTGTGTTGTAATGCTGATTCATTTGATGCTACAACAAGTGTGTTGTAAATTCATTTGATGCTGTGTGTTGTAATGCTGATTCATTTGATGCTACAACAAGTGTGTGTTGTAATGTTCATTCATTTGATGCTACAACAAATGTGTGTTGTAATGATTCATTTGATGCTACAACAAGTGTGTGTTGTAATGTTCATTCATTTGATGCTACAACAAGTGTGTGTTGTAATGCTGATTCATTTGATGCTACAACAAGTGTGTGTTGTAATGCTGATTCATTTGATGCTACAACAAGTGTGTGTTGTAATGCTGATTCATTTGATGCTACAACAAGTGTGTGTTGTAATGCTGATTCATTTGATGCTACAACAAGTGTGTGTTGTAATGCTCAAGTGTGTGTTGTAATGCTGATTCATTTGATGCTACAACAAGTGTGTGTTGTAATGCTCATTCATTTGATACAGTAGTGTCGTTGTAACTAACCTAGTTTAACCTCACTGCAAGACTGTTCTTTCTTCACAGGTTTGATATTATTTGGGTGGTAGTGTTAGAGGGTTCATTTTGTTGTGTCACCCTTCAAGTTTTTTAGTGTGGTGCTGTCATTAAGAAAATGGATCAAGACATATTTGTGCTACATCGCCCAAGCTTTAATCGAATTTGACCAGATTCTCACCCTCTGGACCCGGTGATGGCATCAGAACAACCATTGTCAACTTGCTTCAGGGCAAAGGGAGTGCCCTTGTTCTGGACGGTCCACATAGTCCTTGTATGAGCTACCCAAACCAAGGTGTTCACTCTTTCACAGTCTTGAATTGGCCCACATTCTCACCCTATGGACCCGGTGATGACATCAGAACAATCATTGTCAACTTGGTTCAGGGTAAGGGGAGTACCCTAGTTCTGGACAGTCCACATCGTCCTTGTATGAGCTGCCCTAATCATAGTCTTGAACTGGGCTCTCAGTAACTAAAAGTCAGGCAACAAGTTAATATATGCTTTGTATTTTGTATATTGAGGGTGGGGGGATGTTTGTTCAAGACAAATTATTTTTTAGTCAAACAAAAAATATTTTCTTTGGTAGGAACACTCAGACAATTTTATGCTTTTATGAGTGAGTGAGTTTGGT